CACATTAGTCTCATAATTCTTTTTATTTATTTAAGGTCAGTGGGAATGTCACCACTTTCATTTCTGATTATGGTCATTTGTATTTTCTCTTTTTTCTTGGTCAGTGTAGCTAAAGGTTTTTGAATTTTGTTACTTTACAAAGAATTAGCTTTTGGTTTTATTGATTGTCTCTATTGCATTTTTGTTCTCTATTTCATTTATCTGTACTCTAGTCCTTATTTTCTTTCTTCAGCTAGGTTTTGGTTTAGTTTAATTTTATTTTTCTAGCTCCTTGGTATTAAGTAAGGCTTTCCATTTGAGATCTTTCTTCTTTTTTAATGTAGGTATTTACAGCTGCAAATGTCTCTCCAAACATTGCTTTTGTTTCCTTCCATAGATTTTCGCATATTGTGTTTTCATTTTCATTCATCTCAAGGTATTTTATAATTTCCCTTGTGATTTTTTGACCAATCAGTTGTTTAAGAGAATGTTGTTTAATTTCCATATATTTCTGAATTTTCTAGTTTTCTTCTGTTACTGATTTCTAGTTTTCATTGCATTTTAGTCAGATAAGATACTTTGCATGGTTCCAATCTTTTAAAATCTGTTGCGGCTTGTTTTGTAGCCTAACATCTAATCTATCCTGGAGAATGTTCCATGAGCACCTATAAAAAATGTGTAGTCTGCTGCTGTTGGGTGGAGCATTTTATAGATGTCTGTTAGGTCTAGTTGTATGTGAGGTCTTTGACAGAGTTTTCTTGAACCCAGGAGATATTAAAAAAAGAAACAAAAGAAAAAACAAGAGAAGAACCCAGTCGTTGCAGATTAGCTCTGTATTGGTACACCCCTTCACTGCTTAGCCAAGCTGTTTACGGATTTGTCTTAGCCTTTACTTCCTGCTTGCACTGAGCCATTTTAAGTTGCCTTTTCCAGATTTAGCCTTTGTTTGGTGGTTATACATTTTGACTGTTTCCTAGAACTCTGACAAAGTTGATTTTGACAGAGTTTTTTTTTTCTTGGTTTTTTAAAGTGTTTCTGTGATGGGATAGGACCTTGGAGCTACCTACTGCATTATTGTCTCTGATATCACCACAAAACCCTCATTCTCAGGTTAGGTTAGGACCCTAAGGACATACCCTAAGAGGAAGAGTAGACTGGAAGTAGACTAGGCATCAAAGCAAAGCTTTGAATGCTCTAATTCCTGAGATTGAATTGAGATGGCTAGTGCTCCTAGCCACTTGCCAAGAGAAAATTTCAATCCTCTTTGGAAGAAAATGGGCCTCAAATTATTTCTCTATGTTTTCACATACCATTTCCAGAACTTAATACAAATATTAACTAGGGACTGGAGCTTACAAGATTCGTGAAGGAAAATTGAGGGTTTTGAATGCTTTTGTGGAGAAAATCCTTAGCAGTCTGTTAGTTCTCAAATAGACAGGGAAGCTGGGTGTCCCCACTAATCAACATCCAGGAGCTCTTCTCTTTCCTCCTAATTCTCACATTACTTCAAATCCTGATTCCTGTGTTTTAAAATAATAATAATGAAAGTCTTCCAAATCTAAATCCTATGTTTTGGGGATCTGGGGTAGAAAATAATTTTATTATTTTAATAGCCATGAAAATGGACATTTCAGGACACCATGCATCATGATTGTTCCAAAGGGTTTTATCTGTCCTGAATCCCACACCCAAAGCAGTGTCTGAATGATATGTAGTTATGACCCCTCTCTCAGGGTTCAGAAATATAAACCAGGGCTGTCTAATAGAAATGTAATATGAGTGACATACATACTTTAAATTTTTCTAGTAGTCATATTAAAAAAGTAAAAAGAAATAGGTGAAATTCATTTTAATAATATATTTTATTTAATCCAGTACATATAATTATCATTTTAACATGTAATCATATTAAAAGTGTTTAATAAGACATTTAAATTTTTTCATAATAAGTCTCTGAAGTCTGGTGTGGATTTTGTGCCTATGGCATTTAACTAGCCCCATTTCAAGTGATCAGTAGCTCCATAGGACTAGTGGCTACTGTATTGGACTACCAACAGTCCTGGACCAAAAAGTGGTGTTAGCATCTATTAAATTTATATTGGTTATTTTACTTTTTGACTCATATATTTGGAATATTTTATAATTACAAAAAAGAGAAAACAACACAATGGTTTAAAACAAACAAAAACGCAGGAAGAGAAAACAGAGTAAATCTGTACAAAACAATGATGTCATCAAGAATGCAGAGGGGAGATGGGACAGGACAATGAGGGGAAAAGTTGGAAGGGTTTTCAGGAATACCTATAAAGGACACATGGACAAAACCAGGGCAGGGGTAGGATCAAGGGTGGGAAGTGGGGATGGCTGGGGTGGGGAGAAGATGGAGACAACTGTACTTGAGCAACAATTAAAAAAACTTTAAAATAATATGTATATCCATTTGAACAAAAGGCAATTTAACTGGAGGAGAGTGATAGAATGAATGGTCATAATAGGAGATCATCGAAATGGTTTATTTGGGTTCGGTATGTTTTATAGTCAGACTTGTACAACGTAAATGTGCTTGCTGTTTTCTGAATTCACATCTGTGCACCAACAATTGAGCCACACCTGGGATGCCTGGCTCAGGAGTTTTAGGGGCTTATCTGGCTTCCTTTTGAGATCTCTCATAATCCAGCACCACCACCTAGTTTCCATCGCAGGTGGCAGGATATCCCAAACAAATGCAAAGCAGCCTCTCTTCAACAGTCTGTCTACATCTCCTTTCTCTTTCTCCTTACCCTCCCTCTCTTTTAATTATTTATTTATTTGTACCTTTCCTTTGGCCAAGGGAGTCTCCTGTTTTCCCCATCACTTCTCTTGGGCTTTACTGACCAAGAATAATCAGAAATGTTCTGTGAATGGGTGATGTCAGTTAAGAGCATGAGATTATAAATGTCCCAAGAACCATTCATTCATTCAGTTTACAACTCTCTAGTGAGAGCTTATTATATGACAGACATTGTGCTAGAATCAATCTATTTAAGAATAATTTAGAGATGATCCTGAAATACAGCTACCTAAAATGTGCTCATATGCTCACCTTTATAGTTCTCTATGCAGTCACGCATTTCTTCCTAGTTCGTCACATCTGTTTCCTCTGCTTTGCCCTCACAGGTACTCCATGCCTCTTATGTTTTAGAGATACTATTTGAAACTAAGGAAGCCCTGATGCAACTGCCAAATCTTACTCGTATAAGAACTTACCCCACCAAAGAGATAACAATTTGCGGTAAGTTTTAGAGCAGAGTTGACAAATTAATATTTTGGACCTTCTTGGTTGCACGTCATTTGCCTGTATTGAAAACTGCATAAATTGGACTGTGTTAGGAAAAATGTTAATATAAAGTTATCTATCATAATAATACTGTTCCCCATCTTGTCTTTGTTTTGCATACCAGCTGGCAGGAATTAATTATGTGAGAAATTAGAGAACTCACAGCTTTTTATAAAAGGCAGGCAGCATTTTAATACGGAAAACCACCCGTGGGTGGAATAAGTGTCCTTTGCCCTCCGTCTAGCTCTCATTATCTTTGTTCCATGTTGCTTTTCCTAGGTGGGCCTCTTATGCCACTTATGCTGGGAAGAGAAAACCCAAGGCAGGGTAGAGATTAAACTCATCTCTGCCCTTGGCTGCTGTTTTAGATTTTTCCAACTGGTCTCTGCAGCTTTTAAAAGAGTGGGAATGTCCCAGAAATCTGTTCCTTGTTCTTCTAAATAACAAGATTGAGATTTTTGTTATCCTATAGCCCAGGCTGGCAGGATATTGCTTCACGAAACAGTACACATTGAAATTCAACACAGTTGGTGCTCGGCATGCTTGCAACGGTCTGAGAATGTAGTGCGTGGAAGGAACAGCAACTCCCTTAACTTCTAATTAAGCCTTTAGGTTACAAAACAGTGATTGTTATTTTCCAAATCAATTTGTAGCCTGTGTCTCTTTTACTCTAGCAGGTAGAAGTGGATTTGACAATCTAATTAAACCATTTCCATTTCTAGCAACTGATTGTGGTGACAGGGACTTGATGTAGCAGTACATACTTCATGACGTGCCCTGACTCAGGTTTGTGAAGAGTCTTTAATGGTTCAATTCCAACCTAATCAGGCCACCAGTCTTTACCCAGCAGATGAGGGACCTCAGCAGTGGGTAACCTTTTATTCAAGGCTTCGCCAGCTCTTACTTTTCCATAGACACAGAGGCTTTTGAGTCATGAGGCTCAGGAAGCCATGCCTACCCATAAAGGCTATGGAGCCAGGGCTAGATATGTTATCAGAGTGTATATAATAGGCCAAACAGAGAGTGGGACGTGTTCCCACAAGTTTCTGGCATACTTCCAGTTTCAGCTGTAGACTTATCTTTGGATATAAGGATCTGGAAGAAGATATAAATTAATTAGAGGGCATGGAATCCTGAAAACACACAGTGTAAGAATGGAATGGTCTCTTACAGAGACCATCTGTCTATCACTTATTCTCACAGATGAAACTGAGGCCCAGAGGGAAAAATACATCACCTTCCATGTATTTCTGTATAGTAATTCCCCTCATCCCACCCCAAGTTTTTTCAGCTAGTTAGTGGCAGAGTCAGTATTAAAAATCAGGTCCTCTGGTTAGGGCTGACCTCATTATCTGCTGTCTAACTCCACATCATGCACTGCTCTGGCTGATGCTTCATTTTCTATCGTGAGATAAAGATTAGAGAATATACATTGATTGGACAGTTCCATTCATTTAAAGATCCCCATATCTTAGGCGTTTATTTTCGACTTTTTCCACTTAGCACCATTGGTAGAGGGAAAAGCCAAGGCCAGTACATCCCCCTAGCCCAGAAATTATCTTCTTTCCTAATGTAAGTATTAGGAAAGGAAAAGAAATTGTGATGAAACCTTTACTATTATTTTAATTTCCGGATGCATATTTTACATACGTATTCTAAATATGCTCCATGGTTATCAACAAGCATGAAATATAGGAGGTGTTTTGTGCTCACTTTAGCAGCACATATACTAAAATTGAAATGATAATGGAGAAGATTAGCATGGCCCCTCAGCAGGGATCATGCATACACACACATACACACACACACACACACACACACACATGAAATATAGAAGGTGTTTCAGACTACAGTTGTGTTAGAAATAACAGCCAATTCTGCACTTTTTTTGGTGGAAATATCTTCCTATGGCAATCTTTCTATGATATTACTTTTATTTTTTGCTGTCCAAGTAGAAGTTAAAGATATTTTTATAGCTTCTACTCTTAATATGCTGAAACTAATTCATTTTTTAGATGCCAGCTGCAATAGTTCTGTCTACTCAAATCTTTGAAAGATGAGTCACCCTGAAGACAATTAGGAAAATAAAATAATTAAAATATATATTTAACAGATAAGTAAAAAGTCCTTCCATTTTTATTTCTTTAGATTTGGAGTGAGACCATGTGGAAGCAATGAGATTTAAGTATATGATAGTATGAATATGCTCTTGATATTAATATTATAGTCATTTCATAAATAAGTGCTGGTGAGAAGTGTTTTAATTTTATTATTCCCATTATAATTGGAGTCTTTTGTTGCATATATTTGGTTAATTTCGGTTGCAGGTTTTTAAGCAAATTGAGGGAAATTTTTTCTAAATTCTATCTGGTAATAAATATTTATGATCAGAGCTCATGAAAGACAAATATTTACCTAGAAATATTTATCCAAATAGGCATTTTGAATATTCATATACTCACTCTTGTTTTTAATTAATTGCTTCATATATTCATTTGGTTTCCCTTAGTTGGCTGAGTTTTGTAGTCATGCTTTTATTTTTATTGTCTATAATTGTCTCATCAAAAGAATGTGAGCTATCTACTCACAATTTTGAAGTTTCAGATGCTACTGCTGGAACATATTCTTTAAAATGTGGCTTTAAAAAGCTATGTATTTAGCAAACGTGTTTATTGAATTCTTGCTATGCACTAGGTATAGAGGAAACACTTGGGGGTTTAATGCCAGGGTAGATATTATTGCTGCTGTCCTAGAGATTACAATATAGAATGCTCACTAAGAGCTTCAGTTTTGAAATGAGACAAGGTTGGATTTGTATTTCAGCTCTGGTTCCATAACTACTCTGAGCCTCATTTCTAAAATGAAAATAACAAAAATAATATCCATCTCACAGAATGGTTATAAGGATTGAACAAGATTAATTCATGCAAACCTGTAGGACAGTGCTTGGCACAGAGGAAGGTAAGCACTGTGTAGATGGCAGGAGTGAATAGGTAATTTCAATATTGGATGCTGTCCCCTATAGAAAAGGGGCAAAGTTTCCATAGAGTACTATGGAAACAAATTGTTGAATTAATAACATCATAGGATAAAAACCCAATGCCCCAAGAATGCTTGGGGTATATTAACAATATTTCAGTTTAAAAATTCTGTAACAAAAAATGAGCACTTTCTTATTTCTTACTAAACAGTAATTTTCATTTGTACTCCAGGTGACTTGCATGGAAAATTAGATGATCTCCTTTTGATCTTCTCCAAGGTAAATGATTATTTTGCTAAATATTTGTATTTTTCAAGGGGGAGGGCAATCCTAGAGCAGATAACAATAGTAGTTTTATTAGGGATATGAACCAATATAGATGTGATATAAGTTTTTTTTTTTTTACAAGAAGCTGAAAGACTTGTTGTAGAGGGATATCTTCTGAGTTTCTCTTACACATATTTCAATTAAAAAATTTAAATTTAATTTGGCTTTTTGTTCACTTTTATTGTTATCTCTATAGCCCTTAGGATTTATACCCAATTGTATTTATGGTTTTTATTACATCGTAAATATGTAGATGACACAGAATGGGGAGGGGAGCAGTCCGTTTTATTTTATTTTATTTTATTTTTTATTCAGAAGTGAGCACATTACATTCATCTTCTCTTTCAATGCACACTAAGTATGTATGAAAAGAATTCCCCACAGTAAGTTCCAAATTGCTCTCTTCTCTACCTGGTTCAGCATTGCTGGGCTCAGTTGCTTTTCCAGTGCCACGACTCCTCTTCATTTTTGGGGTCTAAGGGGTATGAGCCCACACGGAGGGCTCAGAGCAGCTTAGTCTACACGGAGTATCTCTGCATCTCTTAGATTGGAACCATTTCTCTCTCTGAGCCAGCAGTTATCAATTCAATGTTTCTTTCTGGGGTGACTGCATGTAGAAAACTAGTCCCGAGGTGACCCCTGCCTTCACAGCGGTATCCCTTTATCTCTCTTTGATTGATGTGTCATCGCCACAACTAGCATGTTGAATAATTGGGCACAGCATCGGTGTCTCCAATGGGCTGAAATAAAATATATTCTGATTATTATGATAGCCAATCAGTTCTAGTCTTTGGAGACGGTGAGAGCTTGAGTAAGCCATATAACTTTGTAAACCTTAATTTTTTTCTTTTGGCTGCAATGTTCTTGAGCTTTCACCTCATTAGAGGTTGTCTTATGAATAAAATTACATATATATCCAAAAGCATTTTAAAGTACTAATTTATATGAGAAATGGAAGGTTTCCATGCCATTCATTGAGAATGGAAGCTTGGAAGGAAATGGAACAGGCCAGACCAGGAGTGGATGAATGGAGCTAGCACAGAGGAAATAGGAGGTTGCCCAGGTAGTGGGTTAAGTTTCAGGAAGCCCAGCCAAAGGTTTGCTGGTAGGGAGCTGAGAGTGCTGATGAAAGAGCAGCCCTAGAGATGAGCTGCTGAATCCAACCTGGGCAGGGAAGGAAAAGAAGCCAGGATGGGCCAGTCAACTGGAAGAAATAGGAAGATTGATGGATTGGCATGTCCTCAGAAGTCAGGGAGCAGGCAGACTGTGGTGAGGGCCTTAGGAAGCAGGATGGGTGGGAAGTTGCAAGGCGAGTAATCTTAAAGGACGAATGGGTTCAAGGTGGTGTCCAGAATGTGGGTAGCTAAAGTGAAAGAAAACAGGGAACATGAGAAGGTCAAAAACATGGAAAGCAAATGTATTAAATGAGTTTGTGACAGGACTGACAGACAGATGGAGAGCAGGGGAAGGAAGTTTAGTCACAGGTCATGGGCCTGGAAGGAGAGGATTTTACCTAAGGCTGGCAAAGTGTTGGTGTTTTACTGGCTCTGAGGAGTGAGTAGACCTTCCCCATACCAGACCCTGAGGTGTCCATCCTGTGGAAGAATGGCTCCTTTCCTTCCAGCATCTTTAAGGGAGGCCCAGGTTTCCATAGTGAAGCCTTTCCAAATGAGTTGAAGGCAGAAGGGAGTTTATTTAACATGAAATGAGGATTCTACTGGCCAAACTGGAGAGCTGTGGGAAAGGTAGAGATGATAGACTGGTGAGAGGACACCAAGGAGTTGCATAGGTTGGGGAATGGAATTTGCATAACTCTACATAGCACCATATAAATGTTCAAAAGTTTAGTCCTGCTATTGTTGACAGTTACAACCTGAAGAAGGAGGAGGGGACAGAGGCATGTGGGGAATAAACACACAAAAAAATCTGGTCATTTTTTTCTAGAGGTTTTGGTAAATACACAAAAGGGAAAATAGTTGAGTAAATTAAATGGGAAAAATGACTTTCAAGGCATTTAGAAGCGAAAACTTCTTCAGAAGTAGTTGAAGATATTAAGGTATGTTAAGGGAAAGGACTCTGGAGCAGACATGAAGAAAAGAATTCTAACGTGTTCCTTTAATTCCATTGGCAAAACAATATGCAACATGGACTGTAATTAAAAACAGAACTAACAAGCAAAACAGAGACAGACTCATAGATAGAGAGCAGGCTGACAGCTCAGGGTGGAGAGGGGGTTGGAGGGGAGGAGCTGAGCAAAAAGGAAAAAAGGACTCATGGACATGGACAACAGTGTGGTGACTGCAAGGGGGAGGGGATATAAGGAGACTAAATGGTAATGGAAAAAATACAACAAAAAGGACAGTGAAAACTATATGGAACATATAAAACTGGAAGGTGCTAATGTAAAGATTGAACAGGAGGAGGTGGGTGGTAAGAAGTACTATAAAAAGAACTAAAGGTGAAAACATAGCATTCACATAGCAAGAAATATTTTGAGAGTTAACCAGTGACAGTGTTCAGGAAGTAGAGATTGAGAGCCCAGTGATAAAAGAGTGGGTACTATTGTTTGGAATAGATTTGGGTAAAGGCAAGTGAGAGGGGTTGTTTGGAAAGCAGAAGTCTGCAGGAGCCATGAACTAGAATTTTATAAGGCTTGAGTGAGAAGCAGGTAAAATGCAGCTCAGATGTGGATTAAACCACATGCACAAGAATCTTGAAATCACTTGGTTTAAAAGGAGAAACTGAGGGAAAAGACCTTGATGACAGCCAGGTGCCACTTTCAGAAACTGAAAAGATGGTGTAGTTAATGGCGTCTGAGAAGAGAGAATGACCTTGTGTGCACCTGATGATGGTGAGTCACTTAGCTTAGGGGCAGTGCGTATCCTAAGTCAAAGGCTGAGAAAGAAAAGGGCAGGACAGAGATGGCTCAGGAAGCTATGCTGTTTGATGATCTCTAACTTATGGAAAAAAAAAAGTCAGCATTCTGCCTTTTTCTTTCTCATTTTTAAAGATTTTATTTATTTATTTTTAGAGAGAGGGGAAGGGAAGGAGGAAGAGAGGGAGGGAAGCCTCGATGTGAGACAGAAACATCAACCACTTGCCTCTCATATGCGCCCCACCAGGGACCAAACCTACGACCCAGACAAGGACCCTGACCAGAAATCGAACCATCAGCCTTTTGCTTTATGGGATGAAGTACATGCAACTGAGTCACACCAGTCTGAGCTTCTTTGTAATTTTTTAATCTGAAGTTTTTTGGTTTTTTTGAATTGCAATATGTAGACTTCATTTGCATCCTAATTCAAACATATGATTTAAAAATTATGACATTTATGCAATAATTATAAGTGGAAACACTGGCTAGATAATTTGATAAATATTTTTAAATATTGCCAATTTTAAAAGCTGTGATAATGATATTGTGGTTTCTTAAAGATTCATTATCTTTTATTTATTTATTTATTTTGAATTGTTCAAGTACAGTTTTCTGCCTTTTACCTTCGTCTC